GCAGAAATGTGGTTGGATAAAAGCCTGGCCTTTTGGGGCCAATAGACCTAAATTTTGTCTTGACCAATTACCAGCTATGAGACCCAGGGGAAGTTTTTTTTTTTGTGTGTGTGTGTGTGTGCTTTAGTTTCCTCATCTATAAAATCGGATGTCCATGGGTCCACATCAAAGGGTGATGCCAACCCCATGAGAGAATGTGCATAAAACAGCACAAGGCTTGGCATGGAGAAATGCTTAATAACTGATCATTTATTTTTAAGGTTAAACCCATTCATTTTCTATATTTGGAGATAGAAAATAGGAAGTGTCTACAGACCTGGCAAGGAAAAGGGTGTAGATAGTGCCTCCGATCACCTGTGACTCCTTCCTCTGTTGCAGCCCCCCATGGGTGAGGAGGGCAACCACAAGCGACACTCAGTGGTAGCAGGAGGTGGCGGTGGTGAGGGCAGGAAGCGGTGCCCTTCTCAGTCTTCCAGCAGGCCTGTCGCCATGATCAGCCAACCCCCTACACCACCCACCGGCCAGCCCGTCCGGGAAGATGCCAAATGGACAAGCCAGCACTCGAACACACAGACTTTGGGAAAGTGAAAAACTCCTTAGCCCTGGGGCTTGAGAAGAGGGGAAAGGGGTGGGGTGGGTAAGAGTCCATGGGGGTGCCCAGTCCCAGGAGAGGGGACAATGAAGGGACAGGCCTGAAGCTACTAGGACAGGCCTTTGTGCTGAGTAGCAATGTGTTCACCATTTGGGCTATCAGAGGTACCCCTGGGCAGGAGCCTCTACATCCCCTTCCCCCTCCTCTCTCCATGACTCTTAACATCCTAGCTTCTTCTAAGGGTGGGGGGAAGGGGGGAGATTTTTATATATATATATATATATATATATATAAATATATATATATCAAGTTTTAAATTATTGATAGTTCATCTGGATTACCAAAATCACTCTGCAGCCCTGTCCGCGGCTAGTAGGCCGAAACCCTGGTCCCCACCCCTAACCACCTCCTGCTCCCCCTCGAGCCAACTATGCAGCCCACAAGAAGGCCCTGCGGGCCCCATTGCCCAGCACTGTCCCACAGAAGGCTCTGGTGGTACCCTTGGGCCCCAGGAGCATCGGCCCCTCTATCATCTGGGGTTTGTCATCACCATGTACTCTCCCTGCTATCCCCATCATGCCCTTCTGCCATATTCTGGGAGAAGGAAACCAAAGGATCTAAAACTGGGGTTTGGGGGAAGGTTTTAGCCTCTCCCCACTCCCCTTGCCCCACACCCTTTACTCCCCAGCCCAGAGAGACGCTGCTTATACCAGGAAAGACTTTTGAAAGATGATTTATTTTATTTTTCTCTGACCTTTCCATCCTTGAGAAAATGAAAAGGAAAAAAAAAAAAAAGACAAAACCGACCATAAAAGACCAAAAAAAAAAAAAAAAAAAAAAATCAGAAAACCCCCACCTAATCCACAGAAAGTGATGTCTTTCCCCTTCCCTTGGAATTTTTGTTTTGTTTTTGGAAATAATATTTTTTTAAAAGTTGCCTTATTGTGGAGCGGGAATCTGAAATACCCAAATGCCTGTTTTCCTCGGTGGAGTCAACCTGAAGAGCTCCCACCTTCTCTGGATGTGCCTGGGCTTGGACTGGCTAGAATTTTTCTCTGGACTGTTGCATGTACAGTGTCTCCATCTTGGAGGCAAGAGAGTTGGGGGTGGCTCGAATCAGAGCTGTACCCGAGATATCCCTGCTGTTGCATCGTTTGAAGCTGACGTCCTGTGTCTGTACACTGCTGCCACTGTTGTGTCCTTGCTCTGCTTGCTGTTGCCTCATGCCAGGCCCTGTCCTGCTGTGACACCCTTCATCCTATCCTGGGAACCCCAAGGCCAAGTTTCCTTCAAACTGTTGGAGAACAGAGTTGGCCTGCATCTGGAACACACTTGTCCTCAGCTTGAATGTCTTCCTCCACCCAGAGTGGAAAGGTGAACACCTGCAGCTGAGGCTTGGAAACATTTGTGTTGCTCTGAAAGATCTCTGAGACCTCAAGGAGGCTCTGTCTCTCTTAAAAGGTGGAGAAAGATGCCATTCTCTTCCTAAGGTCTGGTGGAGTCTCCCCATCTTGCATACCCTTCTGCAAGCCATCTATCTATGTTCACTCTCCAATTGACCCGCCTGGGAACAAGGGATGAGGAGGAGTTGGGGGCTGGGGGGAATCCTGCCAGTTGGTGAAGCCCTGTGGCAGGAAGGTATATGTGGACATAGAGTATACCTGATTCTCTTCTTCAGCCACTGACTGCTTGGGTTGGGCTGTAAATGACAATGGAATGGCTGGAGTCTGCTGTTGTCAGAAGGCAGGGAGAGGATGATGAAGGACTGACCCACACGAACTGGGATGTGTGTTGAGTATGGGCATGACTGCATGTTCACTCTCAGTGGGATCTGGGTAACATGGAGGAGTTCACGGTCCTGTTGCTCACTTACTGCAATGTGTTTGGCTCTGCTCTTCAGCTGGTTCCTCTGTTGGCCCAAAGGTTGGGAGTAGGAGACAGTATCCCAGGCTGACAAAGGCTTCCCTTTTACCTTGAGTAAATTGTTAAATTTGAGCTTGTGCCCTTCCCCACCTTTGCCCTCCTAGTGGTTGGTATGTGGGAAGCCCGTCTCAGTTCCTGTGACTTCATGTCTCAAACCAAGGATGAGCGTCTGGTCTCTGCTGTGATGGTGGTATCTGAGGCCTTTTCCTGCCATCTGGTGCCCACCTCACATTGTACCAGACACTGGATTCCTGGACTCCCTTCTCCTTTCTTTTCTTTCCTTCAGGTCACACAGCCCTGTACCGTATCCAGCACCACAGAAACCTCAGTGTTTTTCCTCTTCTGGTTTGAGGGCACAACAAGCCCTAGGGTATGGGGAAAGGCTGTTCTTATCTAGAGTTTACTCCCAGGCCAGGGGGCTGCCATCTTCTTCACAGACATCCCTGAAAGGAAGCTCCTTTGGGGCAGGGAGATGAGGACTCCATCTCAACATAGGCTGGTGGTTGGAGTGGGGAGCTTTTTTTCTCTCTTCTTTCCTTTTTTTTTTTTTTTTTTTTGTGACATGTTAGGAGTTAATGTTGCAAAGAGTAGTTTACATCTTCACTTTCTGAAGACACTTGAATTTAGGACCGATGTATCTGTGACAAGCATGCCAGAAGTGGCGGGGGCCATCAGGGCTAGCCACTTCACACCCACCATCCTCCCATGGGGATCCAAGACCTGAGACACAAAGCAACAGCCTGCCCAGATCCCTCTGTTCATCCTGTCCCTCCCAAGGTTGGTCCATGCCAACATAATCTTTGGGCATCAGACATCAGCAGGTCTGTGTGCCTCAGCCCTGTTAAGGGGCAGGTTTCTCTTCCGTCTTCTCCTGCACCTGGGAGCAAAGGCACTACCATTAGAGAAGGACCATCCAGTCCTGTCCCAGCCTGGACCCCTGGGGCTCAGATAGAGGTGCTGAGCCCCATGTCAAAGTTGTTAAACGTTTTTGTTTTGTTCCATTGTAGCTCTTTTTTCCCTTTCCTGGTGATTGCTTTTGTAAAAGAAAGTAAGCTGCTTAGAAGGTCCTGGAAGTGAGGAGGAGGGACAAGGAAGATGACTAGTTAGGGAGGGCGAAGGTTGTTTTTGCCAAAAAAAAAAAAAAAAAAAAAAGCCTGGGTAGAGTGATCTGAATTATCTGGCACCCTCCTGAATGGAACCCCAGAGTACCTCCCGTGTGGAAGGGTCCCTGTATTTTCCCTGACACTCATCCTCTCCCCCTTCAGCCATGTTGATGGCAGAGAAGATAAGAACTTGGAGCCCATTTCTCACTGGAGAGGAAAACTTGTCATCTGGCTTTGCGGAGAAGGTTCCACCTTAACGCTCGTAGTACATTATCTTTACTATGTGCTAGGATATCATATTTAAAAGGACAAAAAAAATGTAAAATACTTGAATGAGCTTGTATTATAACATTAATATTATTGAGAGTATCTGCTTTCCAGGCTGAAGTGATTCATTCATTATTCTAGTCCTGCTTTAGTCCTTTGTAATTTGTGGTAATTATGCTTTTCTTTTTAATACAAAAAAATGTATAAAAATAAACACTTGAAAAGGCAAAATACTGGCTGGTCTTCCATCTAGGGTACTGCTATTGGGTGTGAAGGATGGGTTTCTGTAGGGTTTCCCCAGATGTAGAGGAACACTGCACACTCTGTGCACATGAAACTCTGCCCCTGGGTTTTGGGGTCTGCCTAAAGCAGACTTCTACAAACCTTGAATTTATGTCCACCCTGTGAGACATGACATCCATAGCCAGTGCCACAAAAAGAGTGCAGTCCATCAGAATGCCAGGGTTTCAGCCCACTGCCAGGGGTCAGCTTCCAAGTTTTCCATTTCCCAGCTGTGGCCTGGCATTGTGTTACGAGACAGCCAAGAAGAATAAGCTTGATGCGACTCCTTATGGAGGGTTGCCACAGGCACTCTATGAATGGACTTTTCCACAGAGGGGTGGAGGAGGAATGATCCAGCACTGTGTGGCCTTAAGAAATCCTCATCAGTCCCTGAATCCTGAGACTCGATGCTGGGGAGGGATGGAACAATGAGGCCCCCATTCCCTATATAAATTACAAAACTAAAATTGGGGCGTGGCCTTATTTACTTATTCATCTGACACCTGTCTCCCATACCTGGCTTGGGAAAATAGGTTTTTCTAGAGAGCTTTTTTTCACTGTTCTTGAGGTGGGCAGGTACTTTAGTATCAGTAGTGGCCCCCACAGGTCAAAGGAGAATTAGGAGATAGTGTCCAGGGCTGATGCTGACTGATTGGTACTTTGAGAACAGAAAGATGAATTAATTGAACATCATTCACACATTATCATTAGGAATGCTCACAGAAGCTTAATTGCACAGCCCGAACTTCCAAATGTTATATCTGAAGTATTAGAAATCTTGTAGTAGATCCCTCCACCTCCCCCCACAAAAAAAAAAAAACTATCCACTGGGATTCATGGAAACCAGTTTATTTTACATGATCTTTCACATTCTCTACTGGAAATTCAAGTCCTCTTTTCAGCCTCAACTTGTATACCAACCTCAAGGCCATTTTGTTTGATACAGAAAAGGATAGGGCTGGGCCCTTCTGCCATGACTGACCACCTGCCTGCCAAAAGTAAGAGGGAATGACAGCCTTTTGTCCTTCTGGGCCCCTTACAGTGACTCAAAATCTAAAGGCCTTAAAGAGAAATAAAAGCATATCTGTTCTTTCTCCTTATCTCCTACCCTTCTCTTTAAGCATACTGAAGATGGACTTTTTATTTGTAGGAAGAGGTGATGAGTGCAGGCCAGCAGCTGAGAACTTACAGCTTTGATGCACCTGGAGCTGTATCCAAGCTGAGGGCACAAGCCTCCTAGGGAGGGAGCCAGGTCCACCAAGGCCAGAGGCAGGCAGGCGAGGCTGTGGAATGCCAGGGAGATGCTGCCTGGTAAGTGCTCAGCTGGCCTATTGGGCAAGTCTCTGGGGTTTTAGAGCTGATAGGAAGGAGTCCATTTTTATAGTCCTGCCTGGAGACTTGGACTTACCTGATCTAAGGTATTTTATAAAGCCACAGTGGATGCTTTTCTTAAGAGAACTGAAAGGAAAGGTGCAAATATATATAAGAATTTAGTAAGATGATAATGATGTTCTTTCAAATCAGAGTCATTTTTAAATTGTTCTTGGGAACCACAGGGTTTCTGGCCTTGTCTGGCTGCTGAGGGGAGGTCAGGATGGGGAGTTCGACCCAAGCAACTGTGGTTTTGCTTTTGATAAGGTTCCTGGTAAAAATCATCTTGAATAAATGTTGCTGAGAAACTGATCAAACATTTGGGGGAGGAGGATTTTGCCCTTTGCTTGGTCATGTTTTTCCATGCTTTCTTCAGGGAGAAAGAGGGTTCTAACCTCTGGTCCTCATTCAGATAGGCTAATTAGGGGTCTTCAGTTGGGTGTCCCCAAAGGGTAGCAACTCTGACCCTTCCCCTTGTGGGTAAATGGGCTTTTTGCAGTTTCTCAGCTCTTTGTGTTTTGGTTTCCACATAAGGCTAAAGGTGTTAAGGTTTGGTCTGCACCTCTTTGATATCAGTTTTAATCCAGGGAGAAGGTCCTGGATTTTTTTTTTTTTTTCCATAAAAGAAAACCTTTTGTTTGTGGTGGGCTAAGTTAAAAATGGGGACTTTACCAGTGTTTGGGGTGTGTATGTTTGTGTGTATGTTGGGTGATGTGGGAGACTGGCATCTGTTGTGTCATGAATTGAGACCTATAACCATTTGCCAGGATGTCTTGGCTCTGGCCTGAGAAGCGTATGTGAAAGCCTTTGAGACAGGAAGAGGCAAAGGGATACCCGGCCCTCCCACCCCCTGGTGCCAAAAGGAGCTCTCCCTGGAGCCAGGCAGCCTCCAGTCCCCCTCCTTTTCAGCTTTGTTATTCTCTGTATCCTGTCCAGGGTACAAAGGAGTTATCTTGGGCTGAACCCCTCTCTTCAACAACAGAGGACCGGGGGACTCCTCCCTCTGACCAGCCTACAGTCTGGGAAGCTGAGTTTTCCTTTTTCTTAAGCTAACTCCTGATCCCACTGAGGGACATAAAGGGCAGTAGTTTGGAAGAAGCCTCAGCCTTGGCCCTGCTTTTCTTCTGGGAAGCTGACCTTCCCTCTAGCCTCGTGGTGCCATTGTTAGGAAGTGTGGCTGAAAGAGGCAAATTGTTAGGTGCAATCAGGAAACCGCATCTGCATCCATGGCTGAGGGACAGTCAGGATGATACTTGGGCCCTCTCTTACTCCATCTTCTTTGGGGACTCTGGGATGCTCTCAGAGAGTGGGGTGAAGCCCAGCAGGAGGACATGTCTCTCGTAGGCCTTGGTCTGCTTGAACATGGTGTCAGTCCCATGGAGGTGGTCCAGCACACCCAGCACTCCATAACACTGGTTGAACCTAAAAGAGAGAGGAGGGCACTGCAGTGCCAGCACTGGAGGCCCCTGTGGATAGCCCATTTCATTTGTGCCAGCCTCACACATTTCTCAGCCCTCCTACCCCACACATGTCACCACTATCCTGATCGTCTGCATCAGAAAAAGTTGGGGAGTTGCTACCAATGCACCTTCTGGGGGCCACTCCAAACCTGCAATATGCAGTATCTGGAATCTTCCTTTGAAAAGCTTGCTGTGTGATTCTGATGCCCACAGTTTAAGGATTTCTAGCAGAACTAGGCTTCAGGTATGAAATCACCAGCATCAGAATCCCCTAAAACACTTACTAAAATGCAGGTTTCCTGGCCCTGCTCCCCCAGATACTTTAGTTCAGCATATTTGGAGGGGAATCCAAGAGGCTGTATTTTAAACAAGCATCTCAGGTGATTCAGATATAGTAGGTTTGTAAACTATACTTGAAAAAGTCTGGGGCTTTCAGAGAGTACATGACTTCCCTGTAATTGCATGCAGGAGTTTTATGCATATATGTACTTTTCTAAAGAGAATGTCCAGAGCTTATTCAAAGGGCCCAGAACCCAAATAAAGGTTAAAAACCCCCAGTTGGAGGGGGACCCAACTGCAGAAGGAAAAGAGTAAAGTAAGGTCATCCCAGTGTGGTCCTTATTTTCCCAACCATCAGACCCGTTCTCCAACTAGCACTCACATGTAAACTGAGACACCAGTGTCTGCTATCAGAAATGAAGGAGGGAGGGTGATGGTTATTGCCCAGGGACCCATTGTAAGGAGAGCGTCCTTACTTGCGATGGTGGTAGTCGTGGAATTCAGGTGAAGGTAGGAAAGGTAGGTGGTAGCCACAGTGGGAGATGGTGGTGATGATGAGGGCCAAGGAAAACCACGTGGTGATGGAGGACAAGTGGGAGCCCATTACTAACGGGCCCACTATTGCTGGTAGCATGTTGGAGACCTGCAAGGAGAGGGATCATTGAAGGTGGGCCTAGCTAAGTGTACACTTAGCCCCAAGGTGGTACTAGAGGCAAACTTCCTTGACCCAGAACTGGAGAAACCGGGTTTCAGGATCTTGATTTGTTGAAGCATTCACCTTTTTAACTTGGGACAAATTAATGAGTTTGAGCCTCATCTTTCTTGTTAGCAAAATTAAGATTAAAAAGGTTGTTAGAGGGACAGGTGTGGTGGCTCACGCCTGTAATCTTAGCACTTTGGGAGGCTGAGGCGGGTGGATCACCTGAAGTTGGGAGTTCAAGACCAGCCTGACCAACATGGAGAAAACCCGTCTCTACTAAAAATACAAAATTAGCCAGGTGTGGTGGCATATGCCTGTAATCCCAGCTACTTAGAAGGCTGAGGCAGGAGAATTGCTTGAACCTAGGAGGTGGAGGTTGCGGTGAGCTGAGATCATGCCATTGCACTCCAGCCTTGGCAACAAAAGTGAAACTTGGTCTCCAAAAAAAAATAAAAAAGTTGTTGGAGGAGCCAGGTGTGGTGGTTCATGCCTGTAATCCCAGCAATTTGGGAGGCAGAGGCGGGAGGCAACTCTACAAAAATAAAAATAAAAAATTAGCCAGATGTGGTGAACACCTGTGGTCTCAGCTGTTTGGGAGGCTGAAGATAGAGGATCACATGAGCCCAGTAGTTGGAGGCTGCAGTGAACTATGATCACACCATTGCACTTCAACCTGGATGATAGGCAAACTCTGTCTCAAAAAGAAAAAAAAAAAAAGTTGTTGGCATGATTAAATGGGATAACTGTGTTAGGCACTTAACATAGCCTGGCATATGGAAGGTTGACAATAAATGGTAGCTATTTTTAAATGAGAAGAAAAAGCCAGTGTGGTCTATGTTTCTGCAGGAGACCTTCAGGAAAGTTGTTGGGGCTGTCTGTCCTTTGCTTTACTCACCACATGCTCGATAGGGTGGGCATAGAGCGAGATCACACCAATGGGAGCTGTCCACTCGTGGTGTTTCTTGTGGATTTTCTTGTAGAATGTTGGGTGGTGAAGGAGCCTGGGGAAATAGTTATTAGTCAATAACCTGCTGATTCCTCTTTCTCCCTCCCCGACCAAACCATGAGAAACCAAAAATGGGAACTAGGGGTTACAGCCACAGAGCAAAGTTAAAAACACCCAGACCTGCCTTCAAGTTTCAACCCCAGCCCTTATGCTGCATAGTTTGGGAGTGGGTTGCTTTGCCTCTCTACCCCAGTTGTATTGCTGTAAAATGGGATGCTGGCCAGAGAGGATTGAATAAGGAAATGGATGGGAAAGTGCCCTGGCTCCCACACAATCAGAGAGGCCTTTTCTTTTCTGGACATTCATTCCTCAGTTGTCTCAAGTTGTCAGTTATGAGACAACTAGTGGTCTCCCTCTTAACCATTCAATGGGAGACTTGAGACTAGGGAGTATTTTATTGGCCTAAACGCAATTCAGAAGCCTGTTTTATTTTTTTGCTTTGAGACAAGTTCTCGCTCTGCTCTGTCACCCAGGGTGGAGTGCAGTGGTGTGATCACAGCTCACTGCACCTTTGACCTCCCAGGCTCATGTGATCTTCCCAAGTAGCTGGGACTGCAAGTGCACACCACCACACCTGGCTAATTAAAAAAATTTTTTTGTAGAGACGGGGGTCTTCTGACGTTCCCCAGGCTAATCTCAAACTCCTGGGCTCAAGTGATCCGCCCACCTTGGCCTCCCAAAGTGCTAGGATTACAAGCGTGAGTCACTGCACCTGGCCTCAGTTTCCTTGATCAGTGAGCCCTAGACAGGGTGAGGAGCCAGCTGTGCCTCAGGCAGAGACTGCTCACCGGTGTGAATAGTAGAACAATACTTCCTCGATCAGCGTGAAGATGGCCAGCTCCAGAAGGAACCAGTGGAAGGTGGGTAGCTCACGGCGGCAGGGGTCTCCCCACCATTTGAGGAAGGGATAGAGGAAGACCACCATGGGGAAAGAGATCATGCACTGGTTGAAAAGAACTGTGCGGATAGACTGGCGCAGTTTCACAGGGTCCACCTGCCCGAGGGAAGAGAGGAGGGAAACGGACAAGAGTGTGAGAAGTAGGTTCCACCGTGACCTGCTCACAGGAGGCCCTCAGTCCAGCTGGATTCTGGGAGAGATGTTGAGGCACAGCCAGTAGCTCCTGACTGCCACCTAGCCCTGGGCCTGGAAACGTAGCAGAATAAGGCCCTGGCTCCTAGGCAGGTGAGTAATGCCACTGCCCCTGGAAACTTCAATAGCCTTCAATCTGTGCTGGAACCTGTCTTCAGCACAGTGGTTCCACACATTATCACCACTGCCCTCCCCGTTTCTCTGGCCAGGCTCCATGTACTTGCAGGTAACTTGGGAAGCCTCCAGGGTGCTTAGAGAAGGCTGTGACTCTCTGGTTGACACCCCATTTCAGCCTTTTAGCTCCACCTCATAGAGAACCTTATTCATGATTGGATGTAGAGAACAAGGTCATCTGCCTCCTCTTGTGGTCCAGCCTTACTGCAGTAGGCCCAGCACAAAGAAGCAGGTCAGCCAGTGAGCTGCTTATCTAGCTTCTTTACGAACTTCCTGGTTTTCACAGTGACACTGTCAAGATGGGGGCCTGCCCAAGCATTTCCACCAGGGTCCACTGTGCAGAGCTGGCCCCAAGTGTCCAAACTCCATTTGGCCTCAATACTACAGCCAGTATTTCCTCCAGAATCAGCAACCCCTTGACCTTTCCTTTTGTCAGAGCACTGGGCCTCCAGGGAACAGTCCTGTGACCTTAGATTACTTGCTGGGTCCTGATGAACTTGTTTAGTTAGAAGGGATTTCTCCAAGTTCCCTCTGTGAGCTGGAGGTATTTCTGCCCCAAAGCAAGACAGAGGTTTAGAATGGTCCCCAACTTGAGGCCTGCCTCTTCCTCCAGCCTTTCCAGGCACTGCATGCATTGACTGACTTCAGAATTCACTCTTTGTTTACTTCCATCCCATTTTGAGGCCAGGTCTTTCCAGCAGTTGTGAGAGGACATATTAGGTGAGGCCATTACACCTTCTGGAAACCTTGACCAAGGTGGGGCAGGGGGTGGTATCACATCTACCCATTTATTTATTTAGCTGATATTTATAGAGCACCCACTATGTAGCACTCAGTGTTCTGGGTGTTGAAAATAAAGCAATGAGCAAAACCAAGATTCCTGCCCCTATAGAATTTATATTCCAGTGGGAAAGGTAGACTAGATACAACAAATATAAATATAAATGTAAATAGAAATATAAATATATAAGCTGGGGACAGTGGCTCATACCTGTAATCCCAGCACTTTGTGGAAGGTGGAGGTGAGAGGATTGCTTGAGGCCAGGAATTGGGGACCAGCCTGGGCAACATAATGAGACCCCATCAAATAAAAAAAAAAAAATTAACCGGGTGTGGTGGTATGCACCTGTAGTCCCAGCTACTCAGGAGGCCGGGGTGGAAGGTTCATGTGAGTCCAGGAGTTTAAGGCACTCCAGCCTGCGTGAGTGGGTGACACCCAATCTCTTTAAAAAAAAAAAAAAAAAGAAAAGGCAATAATATAGACAAGAGATGATGGTGAATTGGACCAGGGTAATAGTGGTGGAGGTGGTGAGAAGTGGTAAGAAGTGATTGGATTCTGAATTTGTTTTGGAAATAGAGTTAATAGGTTCCCCGATAGATTGGATGTGGGTACGAAGGAAAGAGAGTAGTCACGAATGACTCCAAGGTTTTTGGCCTGAGCAACTAGAAGACTGGAATTGCCATCCATACTGGGGAGGCTGTGGGTAGTAACTAATGGTTCTGGCAGGACGATCAGAAATGCTCTTTTGGACCTGATGAATTGGCAGTGTCTACTAGTATCCATGTGGAGATGTCAAGGAGGGAGTTGGATATTTTAGCTTGAAATTCAGGAGAGACTTCTGGGCTAGAGAGGTCAGTGTGTGAGCTGTCGGCCCATAGACGGTATTTAAAGTCATGGCACTGAAGAGATAACTGTACAGAGAAAAGACCAAGGCCAAAGCCCATGGGACACTCAACATCAAGAAGTTGGGGAGTAGAGAAGGAACTAGGAAAGAGACAGTGAAGAAGTGAGCAATCAGATGAGGCTGCAGTGAGCTGAGATGGTGCCATTGCACTCCAGACTGGGTGACAGAGCAAGACTTTTTTTTTTTTTTTTTTTTGAGACAGAGTCTCTCTTGTCTCCAGGCTGGAGTGCAGTGACAAGATCTCAGCTCACTGCAACATTCACCTCCCAGGTTCAAGCAATTCTGCCTCAGCCTCCCGAGTAGCTGGGACTATAGGCATGCGCCACCATGCCTAGCTAATTTTTGTACTTTTAGTAGAGATGGGGTTTCATCATGTTGGCCAGGATGGTCTCCATCTCTTGATCTTGTAATCCGCCTGCCTCGGCCTCCCATAGTGCTGGGATTACAGGCGTGAGCCATGCCCAGTCAACTCTGTCTCTTAAAAAAAAAAAAGATGTGAGGGGCATACCTAGAGAGTGGGGTGTCCTGGAAGCCAAGTGAAGAAAATATTTCAAGGCTGAGGGGATCAGCGGCTGTGGAAATGCCTGTGGTGCTCTAATGAGACCAGATCATTGGTGAACTTGCCAAAAGAAATGTTGGTAGAGCCTTAATAAAGGGTGACACCTGATTTGGAGGAGGTTTATAGAGAAGGTGAGACACTGCTTTCGTGATTAGGAGAGATGCTGGCTGAAGGATTTAGGGTTTGAGTTTTATGATGTCTCAAACTTACTTTCAAATAGGAAAAATGTATAGATGCATATATATTTGCATATTTATATATAAAGCAGAAATAAAATGTTTTAAATTGGTGAATCTAAGTGATATGTAAATGCATAATCATTACAGTATTTTTCAACTTTTCTGTATGTATTTTTAATGTTTTTCATAATTTAAAAATGTTGGGGAAAAGAGTAGACAGCTGGGCGTGGTGGCTCACACCTGTAATCCTAGCACTTTGGGAGGCTGAGGCTGGTGAATCACCCAAGGTCAGGAGTTTGAGACCAGCCTGGCCAACATTGTGAAATCCTGTCTCTACTAAAAATAAAAAAATTAGCTGGGTGTGGTGGCATGGGCCTGTATTCCCTTCTACTTGGGAGGCTGAGGCAGGAGAATTGCTTGAAACTGGTAAGTGGAGGTTACAATGAGCTGAAATCACAGTGTCACTGCACTCCAGCCTAGATGACAGAGGGAGACTCTGTCTCAAAAAAAAAAAAAAAAAAAAAAATCCCAAATAAAAGTGGACAGAAAGGAATTGGAAACTATATAGATAATTTATTCAAAGAACTCTGCTAGTCAGGGGTTGTTCTTTCTGTTGCTGGTGTGTGTGTGTGTTTGGTTTTTTTGTGAGACAGGGTCTTAGTTGCCCAGGCTGGAGTGCAGTGGTGGGACCACAGCTCACTGCAGCCTCAACCTCCTGGGCTCAAGTAGTCCTCCCACCTCAGCCTCTCAAGTAGCTAGGACTACAGGTGTGCACCATCACACCCAGCTAATTTTTGCATCTTTTGTAGAGACAGTGTTGGGGTTGTCATGTTGCCCAGACTGGTCTCAAACTCCTGAGCTTAGGCGATCTGCCTGTCTCAGCCTTACAAAGTGGTAGGATTACAAGTGTGAACCACAGCACCTGGCCTGTTTTTTTTTCTTCTTTTTAAGTCAGCTTCTCGCTGTCACCCAGGCTAGAGTGCAGTGGTATGATCATAGCTCACTGTAACCTTGGCCTCCTGGGCTCCATCAATCCTCCCATCTCAGCTTCCCAAGTAGCTGGGACTGCAGGCACATGCCACCTCACTTGCCTAGTTAAAATTTTTTTTTTGTAGAGATGGATCTCATTCTGTCACCCAGGCTGGTCTCGAACTCCTGGGCTCAAGTGATCCCCCTGCCTCAGCCTCCCAAAGTCTGGGATTACAGGCCACCACAACTGGCCTGTTTTTTTTTTTTTTCTTTTTGAGTCAGGATCTCACTGTCTAACGCAGGCTGATTTCAAGTGATTCTTCTGGCTCAGCCTCCCAAAGTCTGGGATTACAGTAGTGAGCCCCCACACTTGGTGTTTTTTTTTTTTTTTTTTTAAGATGGAAAAAAATTACAGCATGTTTGTAATAATCTAGAGAGGAATAATGAGCAAAAGAGAGGGAAAAGAAGATAAAAGAAAGCAAAGAGAGAATTACTGCAGCCATTTCCTGAATGTAGTACATGGATAGGAGAGGAATCACCCATAGACAGGAGCAGGGAGAGTTCACCTGTGGTGTCAGGTGGGCAGGCAAAGCATGCGGGTGCAGGTGCTGATTATTGGCTAATGTGGTGTGCATCTATAAAATTCTATGGCTTGCTTCAGTTTTTCTTTGTTGTGTACCAATAAAACTTTATTTATAGACACTCAAATTGAAATCTCATATTGTCCCTCACCTGTTTCCCCTCAACAGACTCCAGTGTGTGATGCTCCCCTCCCTGTGTCCATGTGTTCTCATTGTTCAGCACCCACCTATGAGTGAGAACGTGTGGTGTTTGATTTTCTGTTCTTGTGTCAGTTTGCTGAGAATGATGGTTTCCAGGTTCATCCATCTCCCTACAAAGGACATGAACTCATTGTTTTTGATGGCTGCATAATATTCCATGGTGTATATGTGCCACATTCATCATCAATGGGCATTTGGGTTGGTTCCAGGTCTTTGCTATTGTAAATAGTGCTGCAGTGAACATTTATGGGCATGTGTCCTTATAGTAGAACGATTTATAATCCTTTGGATATATACCCAGTAATGGGATTGCTGGGTCAAATGGAATTTCTATTTTTAGGTCCTTGAGGAATTTCCACACTGTCTTCCACAATGGTTGAACTAATTTACACTGCCACCAATAATGTAAAAGTGTTCCTATTTCTCCACATCCTCTCCAGCATCTGTTGTCTCCAGATTTTTTAATGATCGCCATTCTAACTGGTGTGAGATGGTATCTCAATGTAGTTTTGATTTGCATTTCTCTAGTGACCAGTGATGATGAGCATTTTTTCAT